CTTTTCTATCCTCCAAGGTTTTTTTTGTTTGTTTGTTTGTTTTTTAAATAGAAGCAATGATCAATGAACAACTATTTAGATTATTCATTCAAAAGGAAGAGTGAGGTGGGGAGCTGGACCATATGACCTCCAGAGGTTCTTTGTACACTAATTTTATGAATCGAGACAGAGGTTTGGGACCAAATGAAGATGACTATGGCTTGAAATATCACTGTTAGTACCCCTCTCTTTAAATTCAAGTCTACTACTAATGTAGCATTCAATACTACTAATGTAGTATTAAGTCACTACAATTAATACTTCCCCCCCCCCAGTGTACACACTTCACTTCTCCAATTTTTCCTTGCTAAATCACTTCAAAGGAGGCAATCTATTATTCTTATAAACTGCAGTTTTCAGCCATACTTGTACTGACTATGTTTGTGAGTCAAGTAAGACTAGCAACAGTCAGTACACTGCAAGACAAGCCTTATTATAGACTGTGAGAGCGAACAGATTGGTTATGTGTGCTAGAAGCCTGGCTGCCAGACAGAATTAAAGGAGAATAGAACTGCAGTTTTACATAGTTAGATTCTACCACGTTCATGAGGAAACGCTCATCATATGACAGGATGAGGATAACTGCCCCTCAAAACTAACCTTCATGCTAAAGCAATGATCGTAAGCATCTAAAAAGTAAAGAAGCTAGTTGACTTGATCCTTCATGTTTATTGTGCACATCATATCATGTATAACTAGAAGTTTTCTATTTACAGAAGGCTGTTGAATTTATGTTTTAAAATCAGTCATCTTGCTAAAGAAAAGAAAAAAGAAAAAAAAGAAGAAAAAAAATAGCTATGTACAAGCATTTTATCACAGATGCTTGATCACTAGCCAGAAGTGTGAAGATAGTTTTGCTACTTAAACACAGTATTCCATGTAAATTAGAAAAATTATCAGGAAGAAAAAAAAAAACAAGAAAACTAATATGACTGTTTTCCAATTAGCAGCCACATTTGCTCAATTAAAATCTCACTATGAAAATCCTCAACGAATTGTTCTATAAACGGCAATATTTTAAAGCAAACTTAAGTCCAGAGAAAATATTACAGAAGGAGGGAAAAACAAAACAAAACAAACACAGACCTCCAAAGATAATCAGTTATCCTGTTAACAAGAAGTATCACTGTTTTTACTGGTTGTACTGAAATGGGACAGTTACAGTTGAAGTCTACCAAGTGCCTTATAAGAAGGGTTGCTAATTTCACAGGTGAGAAACAGTGTATGAGCCTTCCAACAGACTGACGGAAGAGCCCCCAGAAACACCTTGGGTCTAAGTTTTTGATCCCTGGATAGAACACCACATCTGGCAGCTTTGGGATTTGTTTATATATTGTCACAGTACTCCACAGTCTCTGCATGGAAGACGACAGACCAATAAACAGAAATGTTCTAGACAGTGTGTATTAATTATGGAGACAGAAGATGCTGGCATGGCCTATCAATACAGAGGTAACTTACAGATAGTTCTGAGATTCATTTGCACTGCAAATTAAATCATAAAATGCAGGATAGTCAGACAATAACATTTCTAGCCATGCTCCAGTTTCATTGCTTAGAAACAAAAGGAATTTTAGTCAGATTATCTTACTGGATTGTCTCAAAGTAAATAATTGTACTTGCAAGTAATATAAGGACTTATGTGAACATATTTGATGGCTTCATTCATGAAACTAAAGTCATTCTTGTCAGGTTTTAAGTGAAATGCTATAGTAGGAAAGAGGGCCTCCAATTCCTCTCCTCTGGCCGATAGCTTTGGGTGTCAATTTTAGAATGATTTTGTGAAAGCCTTTTCGCTCCAAATTTTTCTTCCAGAATATTAGCATTCAGAATTTGAAGACAAATAGTCCAAATGTAATATGCAAAGAAAAAAAAAAAAAATCTTGTGCCTGGTTCCTTATTGAAAATGGCACCCTTCTGTCCATTTACCGGAAGGGTACAGGTTGTTTTCCCAGTGGTCACTTGGGCCAGGAGAACTTTTGCAGAACATCAAAAGGCTCCATTTTCCTAAGCTGTTACTCAACAGGTCAGCACTCTTCCCGAAGTAGACCTGCTCTATTAATAAATAGTAATGCCACATTGAGCATGACCTACAATTTTTTTTCCTTCCTTACTAACAGCCAAAACCAGTTTAGACTCCTGAATATGAGCCATGTGGAGCCTGGAGAACATGCAGTCTTGAGGAATTTGTCAACACAAAATTGCTACTTCCAATTTTTCATATAGACCCTAGGAGTGAAGCAGCGGGCAACCTAAGACTCCTAGCATAACAAAAGGAAACACTGAACAATTTACATGTCAAAAAAAACCAAACGCTTCCATTTTAAGATCATAATTAGCGTATATGCAACTAAGCCACTCATAACCAACTATGTTTTTAGGAATGTGAAGCAATTACACAAGTAGAAAACATGTAGGCTTCTGAAAGCTGTTGACTAACAGTTATTTACAGTATTATCTGCAGATTATTTATTCACTAGAACATTGATTTTAAATTACTTGGTTCAAATGTAACATTAAATGTTAAAATATTAGCTGCAAAAAACTGAAATACTGCTAATGTTTTCATAGATATTTAATCTCTTGTAGTATTTATCAAGTTACCTAAAAAGTTATATGGTTATTTAATTAAATGTTTCCAATACTGCTTTCATGTTTCTTATGCTTCTGCATTTTTACTCTCAGCTTAAACAAAAACAACACAACAACAACAAAAAGCACACAAAGCAAAAAAAAAATCCATAAACCTGTTGGAATAGAATTAAAATATCTGCTCTCCGAGCACATTTATAAACAACAACAATAAAAACAAAACAAAAAAAAGAGTGGGAGGAGAAAAACTATAGCTAGAACCCTTAGACTTTTTCTTTTGGGGGGGAGGGGAAAGGAAGGGCACAAAGAGAACTGGAAAAGGGATATATCAGATTTTTTAAAAAAATCACAGCAGTACTTCCTAGTGTTTGAAGTCTTAAAAACAAAGCCTATCTACAGTGGCAGTTTCACCATGAATGGTAAAAACAGTTTAAACTACTGTAATTGCAATTACAATTCCTCTTTGCATTATGAAAGATGAAGGTGTTCATATTTGCCAGATGAACTATTCAACTCCTCTTTTTCTTTCACTCTTTCAAGCACCACGAAGGCCAATACCGATCATATATAATACACAGGCTGTAGAAGACATCCTGTCTGAATAAAGTTGTGCGTTATGGCGTCAGAAGCCCTGAATCAACATTACTCCTGGTGAGCGACACCGAGAGAAGGAACACAGACCAGCCCTCTGGAGGAAAGAGGCAAAAAAGGAAAAAAAGCACCGAATCGAAGCAATTACCAGATTGCTCCGCATAATAAAACCACCACGAAAACAAGCTGAGCGCTCTCTAAAAATGTTTCCAAGTCGCACGCCAGACTTACAGAATAAATTTAGGCCGGAGCCCAAGGCCCGTCTGCGGCCGGAGCATAAATGCGACACACGGCGGCCCCGCTCGCAGGCCTCTCCCGGGCGCCCAGGACCTTTGTTCCGCCCGCCGCTGCTCGCCCCCGAAGCCCACACACGGCCCCCGCTCCCCCCTGCTCCCCCGGCCGCCCTCGCCCAAGGCCCGGGCCGCGGCGCCGCCGCTCGCCTCGGCCAGGGGAACAATAAAAAGTTGGGCAGCAGGAAGACGGGCCTAGAGCAGGGCCGGGGCCCCGCCGAGCTCGCGACTCGGCCGGACAGGCAGAGCGGGGCGCCCCGCGGAGGGGGCGGTGGAGGAAGAGAAGGAAGAGCACGGCGAGGGGGAGCGCGGCCTGCGCATTATGCAAGCCAGGAAACTCGTTTCTTGGTCAAAGCGACAAAAAACGGCACCGAAACGCATTATGTGCGGGAACTGCCCCCTCCTGGGCCCGCGGCGCCGGGCCCGACCCCGCGGGCGCCCCCGGCCCTACCCGAAGCCTCCCTCCCCCACGCACCCAGGAGGAAAAGCTTGTAAAACATGGAGGCCGGCCCATTATTTAGCATTTTCACCGAGCTGGGGAAGAGAAGGGAGAAAAGAGAAGCTGCTTTTATTTTTTCCCCTTTGAGATATTTGATAGCTCCCTAAAACAAAACAAACAAAAAAAAAGAGAGAAAAGGAAGAAAGGGGAAATAGAGAGGCCGTGAGGAGCAAGGCCGAGGCACGGGGAGGGCGCACGCAGCGCACGGTGGTGTCAACACTGACGCTGCCCTTTTGTATCGACAGCCGCCAGGCCCCGGCGAGGCAGGGAGCGGGGCCGGCTGGGACAGGCCGCGCTCCCCGGGCCTGGTGGAGGGGAGTGGGGAGGGCCGGGGCTGCCCCGCAGCGCGCTCGGTGCCCACCGGGCCATATCGCCCCCTCCGCTGCGCTCCCCACCCCAACAATGCCCAGGATGGCGCTGCCTCCTGCCC